AAAAGGCTGGTGAAGTCAGCCATAGTACTTCATGTCTGGCTTTCAGGTATTCCCACCACCTCAGGAGAATGCAACAAGACTAAGTATAGATGGCAGGTATAAAACCAATCTTTTCCAAAATTCAACAAACAGCCATCAGAAAAGCATGTGAAGAAAGGTTTTTTTTAAAGAGTGAACCTATAGTAGAGAGTATGGGATAGGAAACTGGAAAATGCAAAGTGGCTTGTAAGAAAGGAACTAGGTTCATCTGTGCAGGGAACTTAAGCAGCTTGGTAAGGAGCATCCTGTTTTGCTTTGTGAATTGACGTCATAGTGAAAGTTGAAGTATCTTCTTGCATCATCACCAAAACATGATGCAATGAGCACTTCCGCCCTCTGCATAAAATTTGCTTCTGTTATCACATTCATGCATAAACGTACTGCATTTGGCTTGCCTAGCAAGTCAGTAGCTATGACAAACCTATTAACTGCTGACGCAGCATGTGACATAAGAAGAGGAGATGGATGGAGGGATGACCGAAGGTGCTATGGTATGAGCAAGGGTAGGAAATGCCAGAAGGACAAAGTTGAGGGAACTGGTAGTATGGCCAGACAACGTCATAGGAAATTGGTCTTCATAGTTCTGCCATTCACAAAATAAATCAACAAATGCACTTCCCAGGCAAATCTTACCTGCCTGCTTTAAGCATCCAGGCATAACATTAAGGGAAGTACTAATTTCTCTGGATTGCTGAAATAAAAAAACCTGAGAAACCCAACGCTTGCTGGAAGTAACATGCTGCAATCAAGCAATGGCATTTACTGTTCCATAGGGTTTCCACATGAGGACAAGGCTTCACAGCAGTCCAAAACAGGGCAAATCCCTCACCCATAGAAACACTTTCAAAGATGTTAGCAGTCCTCTGTTAACCTCTTCTCAGCCCCCACAATGTTTGAAGCTGATACTCTTGACAGTCAAACTTACCTCCCAAGCAGGCCTCTGCCAGCCTGAGAACTGTCTGCAGTCTCTGCCCTGTTCTTCTAACAGACTGAAAAACCCCATTTCTACTCTATTCAATGTGGAGGTGCCCACCCCACTAAATTGTTTCTCCAGCTCAAGTATCAGCTATCCTTACCTTCTGTGTCCACTCCTTTCCAAGGTAACTCTACTATCCCACTACGTAAGAATCCTGTCATCTTGCAAATGCTGACAAAAAGCATTTGTCACAAGCTAACTTTACTATACACCAAGATAAAGGCCCTGAGACCATGAGAAGGTTTTTGCTCCTCCAACCCCCGCAACCACTGAATTAACCCTGGAAGAGCATATGTCATTCTGTATGTAGAATGCCCTTTTTAGACTCAAAAGAGTTCATTAATCTCCTACCTGTCCCAGAAAATGAAGTACATCCCACATGATTTCTACATAAAGTTTTATGCAAAATCTATCTCCAAGAGTGCACAAGGCAGTAAATACTGGATATGAAGTTTCCAGCTAAAGATTAGAATGAAGGTAACCTCTGGTGTGACAAAACTAATCCACTGTAAGACATCTACAGCAGAAAGTATTCTACTACCTCCTGAAGAAGTTATGCTGCCATGCTTTAAGCATGAATGGAAAAAGCTTTAATTGGAGCATGAGATGAGGAGGCCAAGTTGGCTTAAATACCTTTATGAAGTACATGTTTGCATTCCAGTATGATGTGCATCAACAGCCGAGCATTTTCACTAGTGAACGCAGTCTTAAATCAAAGCCAAGCGGTTGAAGTGCACATACTGATATTTAGAAGATGTGGGTGAGGCAGAGGCACACCTTGTGTTACAATGTGACCCGGCACATCACAGCTGCTGCATAAGCTATTACTGTATGCAACTTCAAGAACAAGTCTGTCACAGGCTTGTTGCATTCTCATTAGGAAATACCCAACATACAGAAGCTAATAATTTGTAATCTCTGGAAAAAAGTCTGAAGTTTTGAATTTTTACTCTACAGCTCACTGTGACCACCCCCCAATCCATGCTCAGTAGGCATTTGGTTTGAGAAATACCCCGCTGTAGCAATTTCATAGAAGTCGGTTAGTTTAACATTGTAAGAACAATGTTCCC